AATGTAGACATAGAGTGAAACATTGAGAACTGAAGCTGGTGGGTGTGGGGCAGGTGAGGCTAGAGGCTAGGTGCTCTGTTCCTAGACTGTCTTATCTGTAGTGGGGCTCTGGGTCCTATGGGGCCACAGTGGAAATGTGGGGGTCTTCTGTTGGGGGATGGTGCTCTTGGGCCCGCCCTTAGCCCAGGATCTAGCATGCAGTATGCAATCAGTATATTTGTATTGAATTTTAAAGTTGTGTTACACCCTGATCTGGCCCTTTCCCCCTATGCTAGAGAAGCCGCATAGCATTGTGGCTAAGAGGGGGACTTTGAGACCAGAATATCTAGGTTTGAATCCCAGCTCTGCCATTTACTAGCTATCAGACTTTGGGTAAGTTACTTAACCTCTCTGAACCCGTTTTCTTTTCTGTAAAATGATGATTATAATAGTACCTACCTGATAGGGTTACTGAAGATTGAAGGAATTAATATGTACAAAGTACTCCAAACAGTGCCTGGCAATCAAGTACCATGTTAGTATTAGCTGTTTTTGTTCTTTTAGTGACTGCATCTCCATCAACCGAGTCATCTAAACAGAAGCTTGGCAGTAATTCTGGACTCTTCCCTTTCCTTCCACTCCCATATTCAACCGTGTCCATTCTTGCACCTAAATATTTCTTCTAGTTCATCACCACCACACCATCATTTCTCACCTGTACAACTGGAATAGTCTCTCACTGATCTCCCTGCCTTCATTCTCTCTCTCTTCTAATAGCTTTATTGAGATATAATTCATATACCATACAATTTACCCATTTAAAGTGTACAATTCAATGGTTTTTAGTATATTCACAGATATGTGCAACCACAATCAATTTTAGATCATTTTTATCACCTCAGAAAGAAATGCAGTACCTTTTTCGCTCTCAGCCTCTCATCCTCCCATCTTCCTCCCAGCCCTGAGCAACCGCTAATCTACTTTCTATCTCTATAGATTTGCCTATTCTGGACATTATGTATAAGTGAAATATGAACAAATAAAATATGTGGTCTTTTGTGACTAGCATCTTTTATTTACTCAGCATGGTATTTTCAAGATTCATCCATGTTATAGTGTGTATCAGTACTTCATTCTCTCTTTTTTTTTTATAATTTTATTTATTTATTTATTTTTTCCCCAAAGCCCCAGTAGATAGTTGTGTGTCATAGTTGCACATCCTTCTAGTTGCTGTATGTGGGACACGGCCTCAGCATGGCCGGAGAAGCGGTGCGTCGGTGTGCGCTCAGGATCCGAACCCGGGCCGCAAGCAGCAGAGCGCACGCACCTAACCTCTAAGCTACGGGGCCGGCCCTTCGTTCTTGTTTAATGGCTGAATAATAGTCTGTTGTATGGATATACCACATTTTGTTTATCCATTCATCAGTTGATGGACAATTGGGTTGTTCCTACCTTTTGGCTATAAAGAAGAATGCTTCTATAAACCTTCACCTACAAGTTTTTGTGAGGACATGTTTTCATTTCTCTTGGATGTATACCTAGGAATAGAATTGCTGGGTCTTATGTTTAACTGTTTGAGGAACTGCCAGACTGTTGTCCAAACAGTTGTACAATGTTGTACAATTGTGCATTCCCACTAGTGCTGTATGAGCGTTCTGATTTCTCTTTGCCAACACTTGTTATTAACAGACTTTTTGATTATAGCCATCCTAGTGGGTATAAAGTTGTATCTTCGTTTTGATTTGCATTTCCCTGATGACTAATCATGTCAAACATCTTTTTATGTACTTATCGGCCGTTTGTATATCTTCTTTGGAGAAATATCTATTCAGATCCTTTGCTTATTTAAAAAATTGGGTTGTCTGTCTCTTTATTATTGAGTTATAAGACTTCTTTATTTATCCAGATACAAGTCCCTTATCAGATATGTGATTTGTGAATATTTTCTCTCATTCTGTGAGTTCTCTTTTTGATAGTGTCCTTTGATGCACAAAAGTTTTCAATTTGATAAAGTCTAATTTATCTATTTTTTATTTTGTTACTTGTACTTTTGGTGTTAAATCTAAAAATCCATCGCCAAATTGGAGGTAATGAAGATTTATCCCTATGTTTTCTTTTAAGGGTTTTGTAGTTTTAGCACTTACATTTAGGTCTTTGATCCATTTTGAGTTAATTTTGTATATAGTATTTGGGTAGGGGGTCCAACTTCGTTCTTTTGCGTATGGCTATTCAGTTGTCCTAGCATCATTTGCTGATGACTATTCTTTCCCCATTGAATGATCTCAGCACCTTTGTTGAAAATAAGTTGACTATAGATTTACACAGATAAAACACATGGGTTTATTTCTGGACTCTCAATTCTATTCTATTGATTTATCTGTTTATCCTTATGCCAGTATCATACTGTCTTGATTTTTGTTGGTTAGTAAGTTTTGAAATTAGGAAGTGTGGGTCCTAAAACTTTGTTCTTCTTTTTCAAGATTGTTTTGGCTATTCTGGGTCCCTTGCAATTCCATATGGATTTTAGAATCAGCTTGTCAATTTCTACAGAGAAACTAGCTAAGATGCTGATAGGGATTGCATTGAACCTGTAGATTGATTTGGGAAATATTATCTTAACAGTATTAAGTCTTCCAATTCATGAACATGAGATGCTTTTCCATTTAGTTAAATATGCTTTAATTTCTTTCAATAGTGTTTTGTAGTTTTCAGAGTATGAGTTTTGCACTCTTTGTTAAATTTATTCCTATTTTATTTTTTAATGCTATTATAAATGGAATTGTTTTCTTATTTTCATTTTCAGATTGTTCATTGCAAGTGTTTTAGAAGAAAACTGATTTTTTATGTTGATCTTGTGGCTTTCAACCTTGCTGAACTCATTTATTGATTCTAATAATTTTTTAGTGTATTGCTTAAGATTTCCTATATACACGATCATATTTTCTGCAAATTGAGATAGTTTTACTTCTTCCTTTCCAGTCTGGATGCTGTTTATTTCTTTTTCTTGCCCAACTGCTCTGGCTAGAATCTGCAGTACAATATTGAATAGAAGTGGGGAGAGCAGACATCCTTGTCTTGTTCCTGATCTTAGGGGGAAGGCATTCAGTCTTTCACTAGTAAGTATGATGTTAGATGTGGGTTTTTGCAAATGCCCTGAATCAGTTTGAAGTTTCCTTCTATTCCTAGTTTTTGTTTTATCATGAAAGCATGTTGGATTTTGTCAAATGCTTTTTCTGTGTCTACTGAGATGATCGTGTAATTTTTGTTTTTTATTCTATTGATATCATGTATTATGTTAATTGATTTTTGGATGTTAAACCAACTTTGCATTCCTGGGATAAATCCCACTTAGTTATGGTATATAATCCTTTTTATATGTTGCTGGATTCTTTTGGCTAGTATTTTCTTGAGAATTTTTGTGTCTATATTCATAAGATATATTGGTCTGTAGTTTTCTTTACTTGCGATGTCTTTCTCTGCTCTAGATATCAGGGTAATACTGGCCTCACAGAATGAACCGGGAACTATTCTGTCCTCTTCTGTTTTTTGGAAGAGTTTGTAAAAATTTGTATCCTTCTGTAAATGTTTGGTAGAATTTACCAGTGAAGCCATCAGGGCATGGGCTTTTCTTTGTAGATAGTTTTTTATTTTTTTAATTTTTATTACTAATTCAGTCTCTTTACTTGTCACAAGTCTATTCAGATTGCCTATTTTTTCTTGAGTCAATTTTGGTAGTTCCTGTCTTTCTAGGAATTTGTAATTTCATTTAAGCTATCTAATTAATGAGCATACTCCTCACCTTCACTCTTGCTCCTCTATAATTCATCCTCCATGCAGTAGCCAGAGTGATCTTTTTAAAAAATGCAAATCTGATCATGACATACCCCTGCATCCAGCTCTTCCATGGCTGCTCTCTGCTTTTAGGATAAAAGCCTATATCTTTAATGCTGCCTATAATGCCGGCACAGGCTGGCCCCTGCCACCTCTCTGGGTTCATTACCCTCGCAGAGCTGTGTTCTGCTTTTATTCCAGCCACACAGAACTCTTTGCAGCTCCTGAACATACCACACATCACAGGTACTGTTTCCTTTGCCAGAATCTTTTCCTCTGGTGAGCTCCTACTTCTTCTTCACGACCCAGATTAAAATGTCACTTTCTCTGGAAAAGCTTTCCTGACTCCATCTCCTTTCTGTGTCCCACAGGTCCCCTCCCCCTCTTATAGCATGCACTGCTGTATTTTATTGTTTGTTTACATATCTGTCACCTGCAGGGACATATTTGTTTATATATTGGTTTCCATCAGGGACAACTTTTTAATCCCCACATCCTGGACCTGGCAGTATCCCTGCAGTGGATTTGAAATAAAATATCATTCTAGCAAATCCCATCTCCCCCATCCTACATAACCTCCCATTTACTCCAGTTAATTTCTTCTTCTTAAATTTATGCCCATACTCCAACCATTCAAGTCTTTCTAGAATACAGATTCTGATAATTACACCCCCCTCCAACTTCCTGCATTTGTATATAATATCAGCTGACACCTACTGAGTGCTTACTATGTGCCAAGCCCAGTGCTGTGAAAAATGTGCCAGTGTGATCTCATTTAGTCCCAACAATAGTGAAGTCGCTATTACTAACCGCATTTCTCAGAGGAGAAAATTGAAGCTCAGAGAGGGTAAGGGACTTGACCAAGGTCACACAGATAGTAGGTGATATGGCAGGGACTTGGACATGGGTCCATGTGATTCCAGAATTGGTGCTCTTAACCATAGTGCCATATCATGTTATGCCTTCTTTAATTTCATCTGATTCACCAAAAAAAATGTGTAAGGCAAGGCAAGTCTTGTTTCCTAAGGACTAGCAGGAGAGAAATCTGAGGCCAGCAGTGACAAATCCAAAGGATAGGCAAGCCTGAAGGCCACACAGCATGGATTAGTGACATGGGACTAGCTTTCAGGACTGGGAGCACCTCCCAGAACACTATGAGACCCTGAGGAAGGCAAAGGAATCCTACTGGAGCTGGCTGAAGTTTGGAGTGACCTCTGCCTTCCTCCTTTGGGGTCCACAAGCTGGGCAGTAAGGTGGCTACCAAGCCAGAGAAGGCTGCCTAGAGACCTAAGGAAAAGTGGGAGCTCAAGACAGGTTAGAATCTGTCTGGTGCCGAGGTATCAGTTTGACCTGAGGCTGGGCTATAGCTGATCCTGACATGGACTGTTTGGACAGAGCAAAGAATCCTAGGCTGGCAGCACCTAGAGATATAGGGAGACATGTTGGTGATGGAGGCTGGAGAGCAGGGGAGAGACCAGGGGAAAACTGGACTTCTCATTATGACAGAGATGTGAGGGGTGGTGTATGTGTAAATGGGTCTTCCAGAACATCTCCCATCATGGAGAGGCAACCACCACAGAGGGCTTGGGCCTATGACAGTATAATAAGGGACAGCATCTCTTCTCCTGGAAAGTGCAGTTTCTCCCTCTTTGGTTCAGCTTTTCCCCTTGATTGACCAGCAGTAAAAGGTAGACATTGGATGGAGCTTCTCAGAGCATTTATTTTTTCTGATTACAAGAGTGGGGAGTAGCTGGGTGCTGGCTTGGGTGGAGGAGCTGAGGTAGGTTTTGGGGGTGGGTTGCAGAAGGAGGAGCACATATGTGGAGCAGCTGGACTAGAAGGAACGATGTGAAGGGTAGCTGTCAGAGTAACTGCAGGAGGCATGGGAGCAACTGCAAAAGGTGAGGACCCAACTCCCCTAAGCCCACCCCATCCCTGGATCCCCTCTTTTCTTCCATAAGTTAAAAACACTTCCTTGAGGCAGCTCAGGTCAGAGGCTACAAGGATCAGAAGTCACAGATTGGAGAGCAGAGTTTGCTCTGGCCAGCAGAGCCAGGTTCTGGCTGGACGGCAGCTCAGGCCTCCTCAGCTGTAGCGTCGATGCCCGCATAAGTGAAATTCTCAAACAGCGACATGTTCACATAGGCCTGGGGAGCAGAGCAAGCTTTAGTGGGGAATAGGGATGAGGGTGCCTCTGGCCTGAAGCTCTTAGACTTCCATGTGGTTGCGGCATTTGAAGAGATACTGATTTGTTCTGGAGACTCGAGATCGCCCCATGGCCAAGGGCATCAGACCACAGCTGGGGGGCTCAGGTGAGAGCCCTTGACATGATTGTTAGATAGGAGTTTTTTCATGCCCTCATCCAATGAACTGTTTGCTCATGCATTCATTCGTTCATTTATTCAAAGGCTATTTTTGATGATTTACCTATTTATATGGTTATTTGATCATTCCTGCATTCTTAAGATAGTTTACTAGGCTATTTAGTCATTAATAATTCATATGAAGAACTCTTATCACATTATTCATTTTGATGTATTTCTTCATTTATATTTACTTGATAATTCATTTATTCACATGGTTATTAGATTCAGTTATTTATTATTTGTTATTATTTATTATTATTTAATAAATATTTCAGTATTTATTCATATGATTATTATAACATCCATCCATTAATTCTGTCCATTCATTCATTCAGTTACTGTATCATTCATCCATCCATCCATCCATCCATTTGGTTGGCTGACCATTCATGCCTAGCACTCTGGCTCTGTGCCAGGTGAGAAGAGGTGTCCCAAATGAGAATAGGCTATTGGCCCCAGCGTAGGAGGACAGGCAAGCAGTCTGGGACCTAGGGGAGAGATTTGCTGCTGGGGCTAAGCAGTGGCCATGGAAGAGTTCAGAAGGGCCTAGTGTCCAACCCAGTGTGAACTGGAAAGGGAGGCTGCATCCTGGAGCCCGGCCTACCTGTGGTGGCAGCCACTGGTGGGGACAGGGACATGGAGGCTGCTGCTCTCTGGTTCCTATGAGAGGGCACCCCTGTGAGCTTGGTGAGCCCCAGCCCCCTTTACCCCTAGTCTCACCTTCCTGGCTTCCAGCATTCGGCCCAGCTGCAGTGCGATCTGGGCAAAGGGCGGTCGCTCATATGGACGGTCCCGCCAGCACTGACGCATCAGCTCGTATCTGCAGAGGGGACAGTGCTGAGATGAGGAGTCAGGGCCACCTGGGGTGATGGGGTCACAGGGCTCAAGGCTGAGGTGACTCACACTTCATCATCACAGTTCCGAGGCTGCTCCATGCGGTAGCCCTGAGGCAGCTTCTCATAGAGTTCAGCACAGGTCATGCCACAGTAGGGTGTGCCCCCTGCAGGATGGGACAAAGCTCTCTCAGCCCAGGGCCCCAGGTGGGGTAAGGTGGGGGAACTGAGGACTGGGGGTTGAGGACTCACCAAGGCTCACGATCTCCCAGAGAAGGACGCCAAAGGACCAACTGAAATGAGGGTGCACTTAGTTACCCTGTAGGCCCCGGGGCCCAGCAGCTTAGTGTCTACCTACCAAGTATGCAGCCCCTCCCAGCCCTGTGTGTGTCTACTCTGCAAGTATCTGGCCTTGGCCAGATGGAGACACGGAGGCATGGAGGCTTGCTCAAGGTCACACAGCTAGTAAGCGGCAGAGCCGGATTCAAACCCTGGCAGTCTGGCTCCACAGCCCTTGCTCTTAACTGCCTCTCACACGGTCACAACCTCCATGCAGATGAGTGTCAGGTGAAACCAGGGAGTTCTAGTGGGAGTAGGGAATCTAGGGGGTCTCGGGGCAGAAGCAGGAAGCAGGCAGGTGGTGGTCAGAGGGGTGGTTGATATGGTGGCCAGTGAGCCAGGCAGGCCAGGCCAAAGGGCTTGAGGCAAACGAGCAGAGCCAGGACTGGCGGGCTGGGCAGGCCAGGTTCCCTGGAGAGAGGAGCAGGGGAGTGCCAAGATGGCCTTCTGGGGGTGGGGAGCACAGAGGGGGCATCTTGAGGGTCAAGCTCTGGTTGGGTCCCCAGGTGGGGATGACCTTGCCCTTCAGAGAGAAAGGGGAGAGCATTCCTTGAGTGGTCTCTCCATCTATCCAGGCATTACCACTAGCATTCCCAAACCTCTCCAATGCACCCCCCAGTCTCTTAGACAAACACTGCCCTAAACTACCCCTACCTCAAAAACACCTACCAAGACAAAAGTTCCTTCCAGCTAGCCCCCCACCCTCCCACTAAGATGCTAGGCATCACCAAGGTATACCCAAGACACACCTGTGTCACACCTGGAACACACCCTAGGGACACCCAAGTCGTGCCTTGGACTACCTGAGACATGTGAGAGATATGTCCAGGTTATGCCTGCATGCATCCTTGGGGGACCAAGCCCTCCAGCCCCTTCCCACCCCCACACTCACACGTCACTCTTGGTGGTATAGACGCTGTAGTTGAGAGACTCAATAGCCATCCAGCGCACGGGGAGACGCCCCTGGGAGAGAGTGGGTTTGAGGGGTTGGGTGAGGAGGAAGGGCCTATTTAGGGCATTCTGGGGGGCAGGGCCAGGCATGGGCCCTGAATGAGAGGACTGGCTGAGACTTACCATCGTCTTCTTCACATAAACCTCCTCGCCCCGAGAAAGGCCAAAGTCTGCAATCTTGGAGGCCAGGTTCTCTCCAACCAGCACATTTCGGGCAGCCAGGTCCCTGTGGATGAACTGCAGGCACGGTCAGAAGTCAGGGAAGACTGGAGATGAGCAAGCCCAGGACTCCTGAGCCAGTGAGGGGTCTGGCCCCACAGCCGGTCTTTGTGGGACCCTTCATGCCTTTGGTAGCCCTTCCTCTTCTCCTTACCCACCCAGGCCTCACCCTGGATCAGCAACCCTTGTGTGAGAAAAATCACAGTGCCGGCTGTCGTTCCTACCTTCCTGTGACCTGTGACCTGTGCCATGCCCATCACAGGCTGTATCCCTCTTCCTGGGACAATGGTGGGCTTTTCCCCAGTGACCACCCTGCACCTTCCCCTCTCGCATGCTCCCTCCCCTCTTCTTCCAACCTCTCCTCTCCCCTCACTAATGAGAGCAGAAAGGCCCTTCTCTTGCCTAAAGTGACCTTCTCCTTTGAGTTCCAGATCCTGCCACTTGGCCCTCCACCTTCCTCAGAGACCTCTCTCCATCAACCCCTCCCTCCACACTGGCCTCTTCCCCTCTGCTTTCAAAGATACTCAAGACCTTCCTAACTTTAAAATGCCTTCCCTCAGTCTCATGTTCCCCTCCTGCTCCTGTCCCCTCTGTCCCTCTCCCTTCATTCACGCAGAATGTTCTCGGACTTGGGCTCAGGCCTCCAGCCCCTGCTCCACCCTCAACCTCTCCTGGTGGGTCCCACCCACTCCCTCACCATTAGCATCTCCATCTGTGGGGTTGTCTTTGCCCCAGGCCTCTCCCCTGACCTCTAGGCTGGCATCTACAACTGCTAACTCAGCACCTCCACCAAGATGTCCCTCGGATGCTTCAAATGCAACACCTCCTCCAGACCTGCTTCTTGTCCTGTGCACTTACCCACTCACTCACCCAGGCCAGCAACTTGGGGTCATGTCCTCCTCTCCATTCCTCAATCCCACTTCCAGTTAGAGCCTGCTGATTTTATCTCCTGAAGTTGGCCCAGTGGTCTCCCCTCATCCCTCTACCACCCCTCCCAACACACACACACCTGCTTCTCACTCAGGTACTGCATGCCATTGGCAGCATCACTGGCAAAACGCAGCAGCTGCCGGGAGCTGAGGGTGGAGGCTGTTCCATGTTCTCGGGCAAAAGCTGGGTCTGTTTCCAGGACCCGGCTCTTCCGGAGAAAATCTAGCAGGTTCCCGTAAGGGGCATACTCAATAGCGATATACAAATAACCTGGGAGGTGAGGAGATATACAGTGGTGGTTTATATACAGGCAGCCTGGGGTGGCAGCAGGTACCCAATGGTAATAGATGGGGCACCTGAAGCATGAAAGACTCGGTAGTGAAGTTTAGGTAACCTTAAGCTCCCAGCAAGCTATGATGTGGAGAAGGTGGTGGCTGATGGTGGAGGTTTAGAAGAAGGGGTAGGTGATGAATTGGGGGCTCACCTCGGTTCTCACAGGCCCCCAAGAGGTTGATGATGTTGGGGTGATGCCCCAATTTGCACAGAACTTCCAGTTCTCCCGCAAAGTCACGATGGTCATTTTCAGAGGCATACTCTGTATAAAGAATCCAGTATCACTTTTGCCAGAAATAACTCTGGAGAAAGGGCATGGGCTGGTAAGGGCTGGGGTCAGTTACTGGAGGGAGCTAGGTGGGGCCTGGGATCTGTGGGACAAAGGAGAGGGTCACGGCTGGGGTCAGGGGTCACTCCCAGTAGACCTTTCAGCATCTTAATGGCTGCATTCATCTTGAGCCCATCCTTCTTGATCATGGCCCGGATGACCTGGCCGAAGTTCCCCTCCCCGATGAGGTCCTCAAAGGTGATGTCCTCCCACTCCAGCACCGGGTAACTCAGGGGCTCAGGCTGCGGTTTTGGTCGCCGGGTCAGCGTCAAGGTGCCTGAGCTGAACTGCAGGATGGTCTCCTCGCCCTTCACAGGATGGGAGAAGTGGGTAGACAGTCCACACAAGAGACATGGGCACAGCAGGAGGCATAGATAGGCAGACAAAGAGTGGTTAGATAAATGGACAGAGACCCAGACAGAGGGAACCTTGGTAGTCAGCCAGGGACAGACATACAGACAGAGGACACATACTGAGACAGAATCATGGGAGATGGTGCCATGAGGGGGCCATCAGGTGGACAGATGTCCATGGAGACAAATGCAGAAGCCCCAGCCTGGGATGCAGGGGTGTGGGGTTCTGGAAGAACCTGGAGTGAGTCAATGGAAGGATGACATTTCTAACATTTGAAACAGAAAGGAATTGGAATGAGCTTGGTAGAAGCAGTGAGCTTCCCATTATTATACTGATCCCACAACCAGGCTTTTTTTGTCACCAGGGATGCTCTGGAGAGGATTCCAGCCTTGGGCAGTGGGCTGGGGTACCTTTATTGAGCACCTACTACATGCTAAGCCCTGAGCTGCTGGGAGCCAGTGGAGGGTTTTTCTTCTCCACAGTAACAGAAGCAGTGACTACTGCTGTCCACCCACTTGGTGTCCATCCATAGCTCTAACACCACCCAGGACTTGAAGATAGAAAGACCATAACAAAGAGGAACATCCACTTCCCACACTGAGTAGGAGCTGGGCCACTTGAGCAGAGCTGATGGCAGGAAAAGGAAACAGCTAAACAGGACCAAGGGGGCTGCCAATACGAGAACTGGAAGAAGGTGCAGACAGACCTGGTGGTGGGGCTCCCTAAGTGAGCTGAAGGCCAGCTTGATAGGCGAGGGCTGGGGACACGGGGTCACATGGATTCGCATGAAACATGGACAGCTGAAGCACACACCAGAATGTACACGTGTGTTCTAGTGGTGGCACTGTAGGCAGGTGCCTCGATGCAGAGGTACACGTGCATGTGGAGGAACACAGGCACAGGGACACACGTTATCAGGGACACACACATATACACATGGGGGTGCCCACAAACAGATGCACACAGGCACTCATACACGGTACACACATTCATGTCACACACACCCACATGCAGACACATGAAGGTATACCTTGATGTTTGTTAGGATAATATCTATGTTAAAGGCTGCTTTCCCACCTCCTTCCCTCCACGCTGGTACCCATTGCCTTCCCCCAACACAGCAGTGGCGGCTTTCTGTGGCACTGACCTCAGGGGGAGGGCCAAAGCAGCCTGGAAAAAAGAAGCCAACTGAATCTCTGAAGGGAGTTTTTTCAAGGCACGACAGAGACAATAGCCTTGGACACTAGGCTTTCTATCACAAGGATCAGCCCTTGAGAGAGAAGAGAGCTTTTCTGAAATGCCAGAGCTTGGCTCTAAATATCAAGAGCCCAGGCCTGGAGGACCAAGGGCAGAGTCTGGGGAGACAGGACTGGCGGTGGGGAGAGAGATGGGATGAGGTGACAAGGTGAGGTGATGCTGGGTCCCTGAAGAGAAACCAGCCCCCCACGCCCTCCTACGCCGCTGAGTGTGGGCCTGTGGGCTGGAGGGGCGTGGACTACAAAAGGACAGAGAGCTCCGACAGGTTTACAGGGAAGCCAGGAGGAGTGGAGGCTGTGCTTCCTTTCTCAAGGAGTGAGAGGTGAAGCTGCAGGCCTAGCACAACTCCAGAGTGGTAGAAACAGCTCTGTGAGGGGATGAGGCAATGGGTCTGAGGGCCACAGAATATGCTGCCTCGCGCAGGGTGCAGGGAGGCACCCTAGAATCCTTAAGTCTCCCAAAGGAGGCCCTGGGATTCACAAGCATGGAGGATGGGATGAGGAGCTCACAGAATGAGTGGCCTGTTGGCAGGAGGCCACAGAAGGGGTGAAGACATCAGCCACAGATGTGTGCAGATGGAGGCTGGCTCCCAAGTCTGGGAGGGCCTACCAGGACAGAGGCCAGCATGAAGCCCAGCTGCCTCTCCACGACATCATCATGCTCCCTGGGCTTAGAGCACCCCTACGGAAAAGGGGGAGAGCCCGAATTGACCACGGTAACATAGCAGAGTTATTCTGAACTGGGAATATTAAATGTTTCACCACTAATATAAATGGGCTCATGAGCTGAGTTCAGTTCTAGAGAAATAAAGAAAATGATATTTTGTGCCCTTGAGTGTCATTGAGTATAGTCTTATACCCACCATATAAACACACATGCGCAGGCACACACACACTCGGGGTGTACAAGTACTTGTGTGTACACAGGGTCTGCACACATGTGCCCTGGGGCAGGTACAGGTGACTGACCGATCCTGACTGGTAGGTGAAGGTGCGTCGGCGATGCCGGCAGCTTCTGCGGATGCACACCAGGGTGAAGAGGGCAGCCAGGATGGTGAGGCAGGTGGCAGACACCGAGCCCACTGCAGCCAGGACCAGCTGTTTATCCAGGCCCTCTTCAGCTGCCCGGATCTCTTGGACTGGGCCCTCACTTTGCAGCCCTAGACACAATAAGAGGGGCAGATCACGGGGACACCTGGGTTAGGGAACCCAGAGGCCACTATGGGGTCGCAAAGAGGGAGAGGTCAGAGATCCCAGTACTGGGGGGCGGGGAGGACCAGGGATGTCAGGCCTGGGGCCAGTGGGTCACGGGAGTGACATGATTTTCCCAACACTAGGACAGCAGATCGTAAGAAGGGGAGAGTCAGGATCCCCAACACCAGGGCTCTTGTCACGTTTTGGGAGGGACCTAGAATGCCCTAGCTCCAAGGCAGGGGGTCATGTAGAAGGAGAGGGCACTGAGACTGACCCCAGGGCCCAGGCCCTGCTCTCTCACCGTTGCCCAAGGTGGACTCTTCTACCATGTCGCTCCAGTCACCGGGTCCCTGGACACTGGCCCGCACACGGAAGAGGTAGCGCGTGCTGGCATTGAGGCCACGGACGACGGTGCTTGTCTCCTCAGGCCTGTCCACATCCATCCACAGTGGGTCTCCGGAGCCCCCAGCCACCTGCACCTCCACAATGTACTTGGATATAGGCCCAGCCAGAGCCTCTGGGCGCTGCCACGTCAGCTGGATCTCGGAGTCTGAGAGGGCCTGAGCCTGGAGGTGTCGGGGGGCTGGGGGCCCTGGGGAGATGGGGTTGGGAAGGCAGGGCTCAGACAGGACCAGGCTATGTAGCTGTGGGGTCAGGCAGATCTGTTCTAGCTGCATCCCCTGCTCTGTGGACCCCAGAATGGGAGCCACCCTGCCAACCTCCACCTTCCCTGCTGGGCTGAATTCCTCTCTCTATGGCCTCCTCCACCCCTGAGCTTCTGCTTCCCCTTGTTCTCTTCATATCCCATGTCTTCCCGGTGTCCCAGATCCTCCCATGTCTCCCCCATGCCCTGTGTTCCCCCAAGTCTCCTGTCCTTCCAGTGCCCAGACCCTTCCCACAACCCTTGTTCTCCACATGAACCGTGACCTCCCCATGCTCTGCTCCATCCTGTATGCTCCTGGTATTCTATACCTTCCCCCGTCCCATGTTCTCCCTGTGTCACGTCTGCCTGATACCCTGGGTCCTCCTTATGCCCATGTTTTATCTCCGTGTGCACCCAGTCTCCTATAACCTCCTCTCATCCCAAACCCATTGCCCTCTTCCCGAGCATACCGCTGGGGGGCAGAAGCACGCGTGCGGGGGGGGAGGCAGGGCCCAGGAGGGTGCAGTGGTAGAGCTGCACATCCAGCTGGTAATGGGTGCCAGGCGTGAGTCCGGTCAGCAGGGCGGTGCGGGCCTGGGGGGACGAGACGTTCTCCCGCCGCTCCTGTCCCCGTGCCCCGTCCCACAGGCGCAGCAGGAAACCATCGCCCACAAGTGGCCCAGGCACCGAGGGTAAGGACCAGCTCACTCGCAAGCGGTTAGGGCCCTCCACATGCCAGCCCTCCAGCCATGGCTGCAACAAGGGCTCTGAGGCCAGAGGTCAGGGGTCAGAACTGTCCAATGGGTCCCTGGGGCAGGACAGGACAGTGATCCCCAGTGGACAGGTTAGGGCAACCTCCAGTGGGAAAGGTAGGGGCCCCTGAGGTGGACAAGACATGACAAGCCCTGAGTACATAGGACAGTGGCCCCTGGGGGGACAGAAAGGGATGATTCTTGGCCTCTCACCAGGACAGTCTGTGGTCATGAGGGTGGGAGGGCCCCAGGCCCCCTCCCCACCGTCCCCTGGCCGGCTCAGCTGCACACGGACACTGTATGCCGTCTTCGGCCTCAGGTTCATTAAGGTCACATTCTCACTGGGGTCCACTGGGGGTAGGGTGTACAGCACACGTCACTCAGTTCCAACCCCTTCCAGAAGTTGCCATTCTCCCCTCAGCCCTCTCTTCTCCTTATGCCATTCTCCCTCCCTTTCCATTCTCCCCTCCCTTATGACCAACACCCCTATCCTGCCCCAGGCCCCTGCCCCCTAGCTCCCTCTCTACTCACCCACAATGGCTGACCAGTCCATGGTGCTGTCCTGGGGCCGGTAGTGCAGGCGAACAGAGGCAATGGGTCCATCCCCAGAGAAGGAGACCAGTGGGGAGACCACGAGCTGGCGGCTCTGCTTGGCCAGGAGCCGAGGAGCAGTCTGGGCCACTGGGGGCACTGCCAGGAGACTCAGGGTAAGGCATGGCCAGACAGCCTACCCAGTCCTCAGGGAAATGAGAGGACTCTGGGCTCTGGCTGTCAAAGACACTTTGGATCTGGGGACCCTCTGGGCTGGGGAGAGTTCAACAGATGAGCAGAGTGCCAGGGCCCAAGGAGGACAGAGTTCTGCCTTCTGGGCAGCTTGGGGCACAAGGACTTGGGAATAACAACTCGAGGGTATCCCAAAGGATGTTAAGTGAGGGAGTGACATGTCCGGACAGGGTTTGGGGGAGGGCATTGTGCCCATGCAGTGTGCGGGTGGACAGAGGGGCTGAAACCCAAGACAGGGAGAGAACCTGGTGTCAGCCTGCTCTCTGCCCCTCCTCCCATCATTCATCACTTTCTTAATTTAAAAAACAAGGTAGCCAGTGATGAAGCACCTGTTTTGTCTCTGATGCTTCATATGCATGGTCTCTAATTCTCACAACTGCCTTTCCGATGGGGCTCATTGCCCCTGTGTTATGAATGAAGAAAGTGAAGCTTGGGGACACTGAAGAACTCACCTAGGGAAATGCAGCCAGAAGGAGATGCAGCCAGGGTTGAACTAAAATCAGTCAGTTCTACCCCAAACAGCTTTTGTATTCTTGCCTGGCTTCCTCACTCCACGCTCACTCCCCCTGTTCTGGTCTTAGCTTTTCTCTCCAGATTATTGCATTAATGCCTTAACTGGTTCCCTTGTCTCTTCCAAACATTTACCAGACTGATTTTCTAAGAAGAATGGCTGGCTGGCTGGCTGGCTGGCTGGCTGGCTGGCTGGATGGAAGCAAGGGAGGAAAGGCGGGTGGGGCAAGGAGGATGGAAGGTTGTGAGCTGAGGGGGTGGAGAGGAACGGTGCTGTCAGACAGAAATGAGCACATCACGAGGAGGTGCTGATTTGGAGAGAGATGAAGGCCCGGTTTGGATCCTGTAGAGCCCTTGGTACCTATGGCTCATGCAGGGGGTGAGATGTGAGGAGGCAGCTGAATATAAAGTGGGCCCCTGAATCAGACACCAGGTAACTTCCACACTGACTTCAGAACCAGACCTCACTTCATGGAGGTCCCACCAAATGGGTCTGGAGCTCAGGAGAGGGGTCCAGGCTGCAGATCATATCTGGGAGTTGCCAGAGGACGGCTGAAATCTTGGGAGTAAATCACATTTTAAATGATAACAATAAATGTCAACATATATTGAGCCCATACCCAGTGTTGAATGCTTCAATGCATCATCTAATTTAATCTTCACAGCCACCTTATCAAGTGAGCGCTGATATCCTCATTTTCAGAGAGAGAAACAAGCTACAAGGGGCTAAGTAACTTGCTTAAGGTGATGGGGCTAGGAATTTGTAGAGCAAGGATTCGAACTCAAGTTGTCTGGGTCCAAAGGCTGAGGAAAGTGAGGAGGGAAAGGCTGCAGGGGGAGCCCTGGGGCCACTCCAATATTTTCTGGTGGTGGAGGGGGCTGGTGAACAAGTGGGGAGCAGAGTCTGACAGTGAGAAAGAGGAAGGTGAGAGAGATGTCTGGGCTTATGTGGGGGAGGAGGGGTGTCGGGAGCAGAGGGAAGGAGGAGCCAAGGGTTGGCAGAGGGTGTGAGCAGCCAAGGCTTATGGTGCTGGAGAAGAGGAAGGGACACCTAGACCCAGGTGAGGTACTCTGCTCTGCGCAACCCCGGCCCTGGCAGCTCCCTCCTCACCCACCTCGAGACTCCTACGCAGCACCTCTGGGACGGCGAGCAGGGCACCCTCTGAGCTCCACAGCCCACGCGCTCCCCTGTGTTAGCACTGAGTGCCCTGGGGTGTGACGCAAGAGTGGGGAGGCAGCATCCAGAGGGAGAGTTGAAGGCACACAATGTGCGTCTATGGGGAGGGCTTGTGAGGAGGGGAAGAGGGGAAGCATGGCCAGGTAGGAGGCTGGGCAAGGCTGGAGGGTGTCCCGTTTCTGGGGCATGTGCTGTCCTTTCCAGATGGGACTGAGCTTTTCCCCAGCCTTGACACTGCCCAGCCCAGGCCTCTGATTGATCACAAGCCCTCTTCTTTGCCTGGTGCTGGGCTGTGACCTTGGATGCCCTTGCCCTTCCTGCTACACTGCCCAGTCTGAGCAGCATCAGCTAGGGCCCACTCTGCCCACTGTCCATCCTCCACGGCCCCAGGACATCACTGACCTTTGACGTTGACCCTGAAGCGCCGGCTGTCTTGGCCACCAGACGTGGACACGCGGCACTCCCAGAGCCCACTATCCCCAAGGGTCAAGCGGGGCACCTCGAACTCGGCTGTGGTCCTATCTGGCTCCACAATGGCCTTGGTGGACTGAGAGAGACAGGGGAAGGGGACAGATTACAGACAATGTGCACTGTGTGGCAGGCCAGCGTGTGTTTGTCTGGACTGATGGGAGGACAGAGGCCAGGTGGCAGCCCCTCAACAATCAGCCTGACCCCATGTGAGCCGTGGTCAGGCCAGTGGGTAGCCTGCAGAAAGCCCTGGGGGGTCAGGGGACTGAGGGATAACTGTGGAGCTGGCAGGATGGCACCCTGGGTTAGGGCTCACTGGGGCTGACCTGGAGGACAGTGCCATCTGGCTTGCGGAGCTCCACGCTGCCCCGGACCGGGAAAGGGTTCCCTGCGGCTGCACAGTTGATTCGGGGCATCGCCCCTAAGTTGAACTCCAATTCTGAGGCCACATCAAGGATCTGGGGGATCCGGTCTGGGGAGAGAGAGGACACTCATCCTGGAGCCCCCACAGGGACAGACACGGACCACCAAAGTGTTCCTCGTCCACCATATGCCCAGTCACTCAAGTCCGAAAGCTAGCAAAGTCCTGTGTGACCCTCCAGGGAGCCAGCCCTGAGTCACTCACCCCCACCTTTGATCAGCCGCAGAGCCTACCTCCTGCGCCCTGCCCCTCCTAACACGCTCTCATGCCACAACCAGGCCCCTCCCCAGCACCCCAACCGGGCACGGTTCAGGCCTCATTCATGTCTGGGCCCTGCCACAGAGCCTCCAGGGTCTTCTGCTTCCACTCTCCACCCAGATGCTGGGGTCCTTTCTCAAACACACATCTGACCACCTTGTGCCTCTTCAACAATTCCGTCCTGCCCCTGTCATATTAAGTGCAAACCCTTTGGCCTGCCATTCAAAGTCCCCAAGATCTGACCTCTCCTGACCACTCCCCCAGCCTTCCTCCACTCCACTGTCCCAGTACCTGAGCCTTTGTCCTCAACCCCTGGGCCTTTGCCCAAGCTCTTTCCCCAGCCATCCCTCTCTTGTCCTTCATATCCCATCTCAGACCTCACCTCTTCCCAGAAGCTCTCCCCGACCCTCTCAGACTGCTCAGTGGCCTCCTCTGGGTTCCTAAACACTTGGGCTAATGCCCACCCCTGGACAGGTGGTGGGCTGGATGGTGAGGACTCCTTCCAGACCACGAACTCCCTGAGGGCAGGACTTTTGAGTATTGACAGGGAGATGTGCCTGGTGAAGGCTGACTTGTCTCAAGGGATCTCAGACCCTTGTGCTCATACCTGATTTCTCACAGTGCACTCCATGCCACCCTGAGGGGCAGACACAGCCGCTGAAGCGGTCACAAGTGCCGCCATTCTGACACTGGCACTGGAGGCGGCAATCAGCCCCAAAATGGCCAGGGGCACAGGCTGGGAACAGAGGCGGTGTGGTTAGAGGGGCACAGGGGGGCAACAAGGGAACAGCTGGGGCCTGGGTAACGACAAGCTGGGTGGAGAGGGCACTGGTCAGGGGAGCAGGGGACTGTGGAGAACTTGGTGTGTAAGTCAGGGCCAGAGCGAAGGGTCCGGGTCAAGCCTGTGGCTGGCTATCTGGGTCAGGGACCATGGAGGGTGGGTTAGTCCATACCTTCCTGGCACTGGCTTCCTCTCCAGCCAGACCCGCAAGAGCAGCCATAGGGGTCTGGGAGGCAGAAGGTGAGGCCCCGGCAGCCTGATGTGCCTGGGCACTGCTCTTGGCAGCTCTGCCCAAAACGGCCCTCTCTGCAGGCTAGAAATATGGCGTGTGGGTGGAGGGGCCTCTGTCGGGCCCCAGGGTCCAGGACCTACTTGGTACTTTCACCCTCCAAGCTCCATCCCCATGGTTCAAGGGTATTCCCCCAGCCAGGCATCCTCTCCTGCCTGCGTCCTAGCTCCCCCTCCTCCTTACCCTGCTCACAGCGGGTCCCAGTGAATCCAGGGGGGCACACACACTCGCCGTCCTGGTCATGGCAGACACCTCCATGCAGGCAGCCTGGGCATTCCTTGGTACAGCCTGGTCCCCAGCGCCCAGCCTCACAGCCTGGAGGAATGTGCTTTCAGCAGCTGACCCCCATCCACCTGACCACTGCTGCTGAGGACTGGGGCAGCCCTGGGGGCCCAGGCGACCCGCAGGAAGTGGCCCAGGGCCCCCAGCCTCCCACACCACCCACCACCTCTGCCGTCTGCCCCTGACCCCGCACGATGAGCCGAAAGAAGGCACTGCCCAGTGGGCTGGCTTCCAGGTAGGTAGCACTGTAGATGCCACTCGATGGTGGCTGCACATCTGAGAACCGCAGCAGGAACTGCCCATCCTGGGCCTCATGCCAGTCCAGGGTAGAGAAGTAGGATCCTGGGGGCATAAACAGGTCAGGGGCCTCAGCACCATGTGATAGCTGGGGGTGTCTTTCCCTCTGAACACCTCTGCCTAGGTAACATCAATGTGCGCCAAGCACAGTGATCAGACCTGGGGGAAGGCACCAGTGAGGGTCTGTACTCAAGCCAGAAAGCCGGGAAGCATCCTCTTCTCCACGCTCCACCAGCCACTGGGTAAATCACCAAGTGCTGTTCAGTCTACCTCTTCCTCATCTCCTAGAGCATCCACTCCTCTCCACGCCCGCTGCCAGCACCCCGCTCCCAGCCTCCCACAGCCTCCTAAGCAGCCTCTCTGCCTCCAGTCTCCCCCTTTCCCATCCGTCCTCCACTCAGCAGGCAGTGTGATTTTTCTCCCACAAATTCCTCTGCAGCTCCCCTGCTTAAACCCTTCAACCGTCCTCCACTGTCAGCACAACATCTAGCCCCTGGCATGTCACAGTCATCCGTGTGGCCACTGCTCAGCCTTCTCTCCACACCCTGCCAGACTCCTAACATTCCCGAGTTCCTGAATTGCTTGTTTCTCTTCTAGAAACACCACGCTATTTCAGAGCTTCCTGCCTTTGTTCTTATCTATCCTCCTTCTGGAATGTCTTTCCCTCCTCCTTTGTGGGCACAATTCAGGTGTCATCTACTGGGGGATTCCTCCCAGGAGCCTCTCCCTCCAGGACATACAGACCCTAATATTAGGGTCCTTGTCCCACCTGTTTCTTGCCTCTTTGCTCAGGACTGAACAGACTCTAGGAGCCTGGGTTTACCGGACTCTCCACATCTCTCATCAGTTCGGGAGGCCTGGAGCCCAGGTGGCAAACCCCTTGGCCCAAGAGAAGGGTCCTCCTCCCTCAGGAGCCCAGGGATGCAAGAGGCAGCCAAAAGGTGGTGGGTCTGAGGGCTGCAGCAGGAATTTTGGGGCCACTCAGGAAAACGCTTCCTCCCATGGGGTAGCCAGAGGGCCTGACAGGGCCAGGGTGCGGGCAGGCCTGGGCTGAGATCCTGAGGTCTGCCTAGGCCCCCGAACATGTCTGTACAGATCTCTGGAAGAGCCTAGACTTCCCTTGCCTGTGCTGGGACTTTGTCACCAGTTTTCTTCTTCCCCATGGGGACTGCTGCTCCCCACCAGGTGGGCTATGTGACAGCACCTGCTAACTCCCAGGGGAGAGTCAAAGGTGAGGGTTAACAGAGTGCTGATTTGGGGGTGACAGGGAAGGAGGTAGCTGATCAGGAGCTTCCGCTCATCTGTGTGCAGTAAGAGGACAGCTCAGAGCTACAGAGGAGATGGATGCAGGTGCTTCCCATGGTCCAGGACAGAGGACAGGCCTGGAGGTTGGCCAGGCGGGTAACAGGTGTATCAGAGTCACCGGTGCGTAGGGAGCCAAAGCTGGGGATGCTGAGGCTGAGGGAGGTGTTGGAGTGTCAGACCTACAGGCTTAGCTGCCCGACCGGCTCAGATGCCTTCTCACCGTTGCTCTTCCAGATCACATCCATCTGCTTCTCCTTGCGCACACGTGCGGCCAGCAGGGCTGTGTCGCCTTTGTTCACCGTGTGTGTGACCTTGTCCGGGTGCAGGTGGGCTGCGGGGTGGAGTGTGAGGTCAGAGATCAAGGCAGCCCCTCCTCCCCCTCCTTAGCCCCGGCCAGACTCACCTCCGGGGTTGTTGTGCACGTAGACGACCCGCGTGCGCCGCGCGCCCGCGCCGCCCACGCAGGAGAAGACGCCCACGAGGTCGGAGGGCTGCGAGAAGCCGCGCAGCGTGACCTGGTGCGAGCCGTTGCGGGCCAGGTGTGGGGGCTGCCAGGGCCGGGGTGTGCGCACGATGCGGTCGTCCTTCTCCAGCAGCAGCGGGGCGCCCCACGCGTCTGAGCCCCTGCCCGCCCCGGCCTCCCCGGACACGCAGGTCAGGAAGAAACGCTGAGGCTCGGTGAGGCGCAGGTCGGCCAGCAGCGTCAAGTCCACAGACGCGCCTGGGGCGGGACACCAGTCCTCAGATCTGCCGGGGTCCCAGCCTTCACCTCTCCCTCTGCTTTCCCCCCTCCCCACGCTGGCCCCCGTCCCCCAGGCGCTGCACTTTATCAGAAGTTTCCATCCCGCTCCCTTCCTGTCCCTTTCCTCTTCCCGGTGCGCTGGCCCCTTTCCCTCAAGCCTCTTCGTCCTAAAAGAACGAAAGCAAAAACAAAGCCCCTTCTCTGGCCTCCCGGTCTCCTCCCTTCTCCTGCCAGATGGCTTCCCTCTACAGCCCAGCTTTCGGAAAGAATGATCGATGCTCCCCGGTTGTCGTTTCCTCGCTTTTTATTCCCTATTAGTCCCCTTGCCCTACCTGTCTCTCCGACTGCTCTGCAAAGGGGAGCCGCTGTCCCTGCTCCCCACCACGAGGGTGTGACTGGGAGAGCCATGAAGAATAGAAGGGTCTTGGAGGGACCCTCCCTGTCACTCCAGAAAGCTAGACATGTTTGCTGTGCTGGGATTTAAGGCGGGAGAGGCTGGGTCGGGCTGCCAGGTGGTTGTGGGCAGAAAGGAAGAGAGCTCTGGGCCCAGCCGAAGGCCAGAAAGAGGGAGGGCAGGCCTGGGGCGGACACACAGACACAGACTGGAGGTGGGCCTTGGGCTTTGCCTTCCAAAGAGCTCTCTGCCTTGTCGGGGAGACAGACATGGCTGTACCTGTCAAATGCAGGGAGCTGGCCAGCGAGAGCACAGAGAAGAGGCGCCAGACCAGCATGAGGGAGGCAGGGATGAAGAGAGGCCTCCTGGGAGACAAAGCTTGAGGGTCTTAAAGCTGAGCAGGACACAGGGCGGTGAAGAGAATGAGGGCGGGGAGAGGTCAGGGATAGGAAAGGGCGTTCTGGGCAGAGGGAGCAGCCTGAGTAAAGGCACGGAATGAAAAACACTGTGGTGTGAACAGGGGGCTGTCCAGGCTCCATGTGGCTGGAGCACACAGTGTGAGGCTGAGAGCGAGGGAGACCAAGTGGAGTTGGAGGCCAGAGGCGGGCCTGAGCAGGGAGAGCCCAGCGAGCCTTCTCAGCCCCATGACCCACACTTTCTCAAGCCCCTCCTCCGTCTCTGCCTGCTAACTGCCCAGTCATTAGTTTAAATGCCGCTCAGTTTATCAATTCCTATTCTCTGAAAGCTACCATGAGTGAAGCTAGCATTTGCTGCCCGCCTGTCCTGTGCCGAGCACCTGTTTCCACCAGGGCCTCGCACCCTGCAGTGAAGTCGATGTGCTTGCCTTTACAGGCAAGGGTGATAATTATTCTGCAGTCCTCCAGCAAGCTCATCCGCTTCCTTGGCTTTAACTGTCACCTCTGAGTCAATGACGCTGGGACGGCCTCTCAGCTCGGGCCTGCATTTCCATCAGCTTTCCTCAAAACTGCCCCTTTCTGGTGCTCCCTGACTCAGCAGATGGTACCAACCACCTGAGACACAAACTTTGTAGTCATCTTGTACTCCTACTGTTGTAATAATTAAAGTTTATTGGAGGCCCGTTATATGCCAGGCTCTTGACTTGTGTTCTCTCATTTTATCATCCCAACTATCCTGGGAGGTGGGTGTTATTACCCCAATTTTATAGGCAGTGAAGGACGGCTCAGAGGAGTAACTTGCCCAAGGTCATACGATTAGTAACTGGCAGAGCCAGGTTGTCTGATTCTAAAGTCCACGCCTCTCAGCATTGTGCTGGCTGCCCCAATCCATCACAAAATTCTGCACATTCTGTTTCCTCAAAGCTTCTTGACTTCATCCCCATCTCCAGGCCCGCTCTCCTTTAGCCCTCACCCTTACTCACCTGGACCATCCCAAGAGCTACACCCCTCCTTCCTCAACTCATCCTCCAAAGTGATCCATCTAAGACCTTGCGACTCTCTGGCCTACAACCTCTCATGGCTCCTCATGGCCCTCAGGGTACAGTGCCTGCTCGTGAGCGCTTTGCTGCTCTTACTCTGCCCCTCTTGCTGTGTTGCCTCCAGGAACCTTCTCTCCCATGCACTTCCGTGCCTCTGAGACGTGCCTCTGTTGTTCTGGCTGCCTGGAATGCAGACTACCGCTCCTAGTGAAGTCTTTCCTGACTCCCTGTTCATCTACTAGCTGGAGATGGAGCCAGCTGACTCCCCTGGAGTGCTCCTCTGGAGCTCCTGTGTCTGTCTGTTTAGCCCTTACCCCATGCCCTGTGTCCCTCACTAGACTGTGAATCACTCAAAGGCAGCTCTGCATTCTAATCCTCTTTGGCCAGCACACCGAAGCAATTAGCTACCACTTACTCAGAAGCCCTTACCAGGTGCCGGGTACTGTGCCAAGTGCTCTGGGTAAATTGCCTTATTTAAACCCCATAACGGCCATAGGAGGTCAGCATCATTTAATCTCATTTGCAGATCTGGAGGGTGCCTGCCTCTCAGCTAATGGCCTACCACTTAGCACAGCTCCTGGAATATTATTTGTTCTTAATAAATGTTTGTCAAATGAATAATTGAATGAATGCAGAGCACTGACCATATGCACACCCACTGAAAACTTCATAGGGCCATAGGCCCTGCTGTCGCTACTCATCCTAAGATCTAGCATAGTCAGTGGCCACTGCCCTCTTCCCCCCTCCTCCAATCCCAGGCTGCAGTGACTTCTAGAGCCTGCCTGGGATTTCCCTGGCCCTGATCCCACTTTCTAGCTGATCCGAGTGTGGAGAAAAGTGATGGTGGTGATGATAGTGTTTCCCCAGGGGAGAACCAGGGCCTTGGGGGCTGGGAGGGGTGGCTTGGGGGAGACTCACCAACATGAGAAGCCAGGAAGAGGATGGGGAGCAGCAAAGGGGGCCCCAGCCAGACCATACTCCGGAGGCTGACCAGGCCAGCTAGGACGAGCTGGGCCCACGGTCAGTTACTGTAGGTCTGGCTGCTCAGCCTGTGCCGGTCAGTGTGTTGGTGTTGGGGAGGAAAAGGAAATGAGTTGGCTTGGGTAGGAGGGGTGGCAGGGGAGAGGGATGGGAAGGATTATCCTGTTTCTGGGCCTCTAGGCACCCCCAGTCCAGCCCCTACAAGGCTGGGGATGGGTGTGGCCTGGAAGGCCCTGGAATAGGGTCACTTGAGGTGGGGGGAGGGTTGTGGTAAGGACAGACCTGGGGACTATTGGACTGATTTTCCCATCCCCTCTTTTCCCCTTGGTCGTCAGTCTTGCCGGTGCGCAGGAGGCAGGAAAGGGAGGAAGCCAGTGGCTTCCGCCTATTGAGGAGGGCTTGGGGGCGGGGGGGATATTGTTCTGGAGTCGCCCCTCCTCCCAGCACATACACACACTGGGGCCCACACAATTTCTCATGTATGTGCCCCAGGACACAGTTACATGGGTGTTCTAGAGAGCAGTTCACGCATGTAACACAAGGATCTTTGTGGGCCCGGAATGTACAGAAAGGAACAAAAGAACGCACACTCAGGGCAAAAACGAAACTTCAGTTCTATCTTGTGTAACTCTCTCATTCTACAGATGGGAAGACTGAGGCCTGTGTGTTTGAGGGCCCTCTGAGGTCGTGGCAAGGCTGGGACTTGAGCTTCCGACTTAGTCGCTCCTCAAGGGCACACGTTAAGCAGACCCAGGGGAACATGCAGGGGGTCTTCCATTTACAGTCCTTAGCTTAAGCCACTAATAGAGGCTTCAGCTCATTGTCTGTCTCACGTCATTCATTTTGCAGCAAACCCATGCCTATCCCTGGGTACTGGGGCAGCAGAAGCCCGTCCAGGGAGTGTACTCACTCTTGAGGGCTGAAGACAACCCAGGAGCAGTCCCAGCCCCTTGGCAAAGCCTCCAAAGCCCCATGGATCTTGCTGTGACCTCTCATCTCTCACTGCCCTGGCACCACTGCTCCACCTGGCGCCACCACTGGCAGTTCCCAGAACAGAACATGACCTGCAGGTATAGAATGCCCACGGTGGGGGTGGCTGGTGTGTCTTTCCTTACAGAGAGCACTTGGGCAGCATCTGTTCTTGAAAATGACACCTACTGACACAGGTGTTTGCTCTGAATGAAGCTGCAGACTCGGTGACACTGTGCTATGTGCAGAGACTCCAGGCCCATCTGCCCTCCCCACTTGCAACTGGGAAATAAAACTCCTTAGTAAGGATCTGTAGATAAATACAATACAAATCTTGCAGAGTTTGTATACAAGGATTTGTATTATTAAACAATGTCCTATACATGTAAAAGTATATTTTTATACGTGTCGAGATTATGTTGCAAGTAATTTAAATAGCATCTGTTTACAAACAGCATGTCACAAATGAAATATCGCTGCACAAACAAATTTTGAGTGGGTTGTGTGTACATCTGCTATTGCAATAGAAATACTCAATCCATAATGCATATCTTAAAGTCTCAGTCACTGGAAATTTCTAGGCCAAAAATAATGTTAATACAAATATGCAATTGTACACATGGTAAGGTTAACCCTCAAACCCAAAACAAACTAAACTGATAATGATAGAGCTAAACTAATTAAAAAAAACCCCAGCAAGTATAGCATTACGACCAACTCCACATAAGGCTGATACTTCACCGCTAACAAAGCCGCCTTCCTTCAAATAGTGGGAATTCCAGCTGTCGGTACGTGGGCACGTCCAGGAGTTTTGCCAGGTTGCCAGGCATTTCGGGGCAGCCAGGCTTCCTAGTGGAACACTGAAGTAGAGTTTTTTGTAAACCCTACTTGCCAACTTTATTTTCCAAATGCTAAATTTTAGTGACATTCGTTTAGAGTGTTATTAGTAAAGAGCCTGTAGTTGGACATAAAAAGGGAAGGTAATGAAATTAGTTGTCTTTTGCCCGTAACTGAAAAGAGGGCTTGTGTTGTTAGAACTGCCCAGGACCCAGCGGGACAGCCTCATTCTCTACTGTGGGCTGTGGAGCTAAACATGTCTGTGTTTGCTCAATGGTGTCAACTGTTTTGAGTGATGCTGAAAATTGTCACGTATTTTTCGTAGCCAACCTGTAGATATGGGGCTGCTTCTTTTGGAGAAGTCATCTGTCTTGGTCCATTTTGGTTGCCATAACGAAGTGCCATAAACGAAGTTTATAAGTCTGGATGGCTTATAAACAACAAACAATTATTTCTCACAGTTCTGGAGGCTAGAAGTCTGAGACCAGGGTGCCAGCATGGTCAGTGGTGCTAGACCTCTTCCAGGTCACAGGTCCTCACAGGTGGAAGGGGCAAAGGAGCTCTCTCAGGCTTCTTTTATAAAGGTATTAATCTCATTTCTATGACCTACTCACCTCCCAAAGGCCCCACCTCCTGATACCATCACACTGGGCATTAGAATTTCAACATATGAATTTTGGGGGGACACAAACATTCAGACCATGGGACGGTCCTTCTCTAGGAGCAGGTTAATGAAACCAAGGTAGGGACAGGCTTACAGCTGACAGGGATCCATGCCTGCACACAGGTGTTCCCAGCCCCTCACATGTGCCAGACTCTGTACCACATGCTGAGGATACGACCATGAGAAGGACAGCCGTTATGCCTTGGAATATTGAGCTTAAGAAGTGGGAGAGATCCCTTCATGGCAGAAACCTGAAGATTGAGGCTTCAAGGCATTCATCCAAAGAATGGGAACCAGCCAACTTTTTGGGCATGGCCCATGTTTTATTGGAGTTCCTATTAGTGTATGATTCAGTGACACACATGGTGACATCTAACCCATATTGAGGTTCCTTTGGAGTGGTATTTCTTTTGGGGGGTCTAGGTTCTAGAATAACATCTGGAGAAGCATAGAGAAGTGCAAGTAGGATCTGATTTGGCCATAACGAGGCACAACCCTGAGTATGTTACTTTCTTTCCTGCGTGTGCCAATAATTACTCAGTCCAGGAAAAATGATAAAATAACAGAACCTATCTTTTCTTTTTCCATTTTGATGGAAGAGACATAATTACCTCCCCCCACTGACCACCCAGCTACAAACACACACACGCGCACACACACACACACACACACGATGCCCAGCTACAGTGTGTGTGTACCTCTTCAGTGACAGTTCCATTCTTTCATGGGCTTCTGTACCTCTCTGTTATGTAACCTTCAAGTTCCTTGCAAGACCCAGCCAGTATCTCCTATTGGACAGTGAGTGCCTCGTGGGCAGGAACCACAGCTGCGAATGATTGACAACACTGAAAATAATTGGCTCTCAATAAATATTTGGTGAAAAATAAATGTGTGTTTGTTGTGTGGTATTATGACAGGGGAAGGCATGGGCAGGGGCTGGGTCTTCCTTGAATTCCCGGTTTCCATCATCCCAGGAAAGGTGGTCCCCTCACAAGAATCCAGCACCCACTGGCAGCCTGAATCAGAAGTGGATTCATTCCTGGTGGAGACTGTTTGGACAGATGCACTGAATGGTGCGAATATTCATGGAGGTTGTATCTGGGGATCCAGGTGGGGTTGAGAAAGATGTGAAATCAGAAGGGGAGGGGTGAAACCCTGGATCTTGAAGTATTTCTCTTGGGGAAGAGTTTCTTCTCCAGGAATGGGTCATAGGGGGAGCAAGAAATAGCTCCTTCAAGATGGAGGCTAGGAGAGGTGGAAGAGCAGTCCAATGCAGCTTCTCAAATTGCATTGCCCAACAGTGGCCCTACTGCATCTGCCTCAGAGGCAGCCCTCGCTGCTTCTCGTGGGAACCATTTAACACTTATCTGGTCTGTGAGGTCACTGATCACGTGCTTGGGTGTCGCAGCAACATCAAATTGCTATAAAAGCTTCTGAACGCTTACTTTCAGTTTTCGTGCTTGTCTCTTTGTGACAGTTCTCAGACTAGTGCTGGGCCGTCAACTACCTTTTGAGGAGCACTAGTCTAGTGGGATAACAGACAAAGACGGTTGGGGGCATAGATGGCTGAAGTCAGAGTTGAGGTTTGACTTTGTTTTGAGTTCGAGAATTTCCGCGTCATGACAGAGTCTGTGGTGTGGCTGTGGGAGTGGCAAGGAAGTGAAGGCCACAGGAGATGGGAAGCCCAACAGTGGTTTGAAAGGTCATCCATGAGGATATGCTCCTTTCTCCCCACCATTCAGAACACACTGTGTCGACACAGACACAGGTGTATAAAGACTCTGCACTCCGCATTTCCAACACAGGTTTTCCTGACTCATGTACCATCTGCGCATTGTCTGTAACCAGACTCTATCTCAAAATGGAATTCTGTCTTTCCTACAGAGTGATTCCAAGCTCTCTTGGGGTGGTGATGGGAAGGACAGACCTCCTCTAAAATGATGGGTTAGGGTGGCGGTGCTGGCCTCCTTTGCCAGGTATGACCAATGTGTGTCCCACTCGACCCCAAGGTACTTGGAGGACCCCAGACCATGGGAGACCTGCTGTATTTGCTTATTTGGGCTGGGGCTGCTTTTCGCCATGTTGGACCATCCCCCATCCTCCATCTTCCATCTGGCCTCACCATACTCTTCTGTGAAAGAAGGTTGGGGAGGGAGAAGGGGAGGAAGTAGGGAGAGTAGGGAGTAGCAGACTATACTGGTTAGTGGGCAGGAGGCCGGGTGGGATCTTACTCTTAGGGATGAGGGCTGGCTGGTCAAGGCCCCACTTAGTTTGTACTTTAGATGGTAGTGGTGCTGGGAAAAATAACCTTTTCTCTCATCCTAGGTTTAAATCAAGGGACTGCCTGACTTTTCACCCTGACCCTGTGGAGAAGTCAGGGATGGGGCTGGTGGTGCCTGGCTGGGCTTCCTCAGTCCTGGGTCAGTGGGGCAATGGCTGGCACCACCTTCAGCCACAGCTCACAGGCTCCTGTGAATCTTGTTCTCTTGAGCTGGAGAGCGAAGTGTTTTTTCCTTTTTTTTAATTAAATAGATTTTATATTTTAGAACAGTTTTAGATTTGCAGAAAAATTGAGAAGATAGTACAGAGAGTTCCCATGTACCCTACACTGTTTCCTCTATTATTAACTTCTTACATTAGTATGATATATTTGCCATAAGTAATGAACCGATATTGATACATCATTAACTAAAGT